AGTTCAGTGGCAGTGCCTTTCGTGGTTCCCGAATTTCAGAACTCTGAGGGGGGCCTCAGACAGGGCTCTCTCCTGCCTGAGCAGGAAGGGAAAGCGGCCCTTGCTCTCCTTGCAGTTGTCCCCCAGCCCCTGCGTCTCATGCACTGGCACATAAGGTCACCTTGGGAAGTGGACCTCGGAGCCCCCTCACTCTGACCACTGAACCCCTCTGTTCACACCCCTCCTGCCAGGGGCAGCCCCTCCAGGAAGGATGCCCAAAGCCGAGGGGCTGGACATGGCCTCTTCAGTGGGGGTCACTTGAGGGCAGCCCCTCCCCTGCCCCTGGACTCCAGGCGCCAGTCTGAGCCCCAGCCCCCTCGCTTCCTCAGCTACCGCTCCAGAGGTCTGGTTTCAGATGGGGTTTGTTTGGTTCTGTTTCTGTTTGGGGTGGGTGGGTCATTGCGGTCTTAGATCATGTTTCTCTTGCTACCAAACAGTCATGTATTAACTTTCCTTGGATGATGAATTTTAAAGAGTCAATAAATAGAAACACCAAATGACTGCTCCCCATCAGTGGCCCAGGTGGCCTGCTGCCAGCAACCTAAGGGCTCCCCAGCTGCATGGGCCTCCCGACATTCGCTCACTCGCACAGCGGGGAGGCCTCGGAGACCCAGGAGGGTGCTGGGATGGCAAGGCTGCCACTGACTTGTATTATCCCAGCAGGTGGCTGCAGTTTCCTCATCAGGAAAACGGCGTTGTGCCAATCCAATGCTTTGTAACCAGGGCTACATGTTAGGATCCTTTACAGATTCATGTGTAAATATAAAGCATGACACAAATTACATGTCCGTGTAAATACACGTTTTTAGGCTCCACTCGGGTCCCGAGTCAGTGGGTCTGAGATGAGGCTTTATATGAAGCTGAAACACACTGCAAGTGAAAACCTGGGCAACTAGTGAGCCTGCCTACAGCTCCCCCCGAAAGCCGTTCCCCAGCAAAGCCTTGCATGAGGCTGGGGACTCCGACAGAGGCCAAGGTGAGTTCAGGCTATGGAGCTGGGGTAGAATCCAAGTCTGTCTCATTTCTGGTCCAAAGAAGTGTATCATTAAACAAAGTGTCATTAAATCAGACACAAGAATGCAAAGGCCAACAGCACGGGGCCAGTCTGTTGGGGCAGAGCCCTTACCACAGCGTCTACCTGCTGGACTCAAAGTGGTGACCACCAGGAAAGGACAGGTCATGCCTCTGCTGTGCTGAACACACACGTGAACGCTTCCCAACCTAAATGATTAAGACTTTACACAAATCAGGGGAAGTTCAGGCTTGTATTTTGCAAACTGGTGTTCGCATCAGTCCCTCCTGAAGTATCTGACTCATGTTCCTCAGACCGGCCCTGGACAGCATGTCCTGACCTCCAAGGACTGGGAAGAGTCAGGACCAAAAGCCATCTCTTCTCCAAAGGGGTTCTTCAGGTGTCCCTTGAGCTAGGGACAGTGGGCATGGTTTTGGTAGACGTCTACCTTTAGGGAAGATAAGGCACAGAGAGGGATAGGGATTTACCTGGGGTCACACAGCAAGGCAGCATTGAGGCTGGTGGTGGGTGTAGAGGAAGGTTTCCTATGGTCAGAGAATGGCCCTTAGAACTCAGGATGCACAGGGCTAGATTAGCTGCCCCTGTCATTGAGGTCAGCACTAGTCTGTAGGTCCAGAGGGCTTGGTGAAGGGAGAAGCAAGAATGGCTAAGGCCCTGGCTTAGAACTTCTGGGTGGAACCTGGGGAAGGTGCGGGGACCAAGGAGTCCTAACTGAAGCCTCAGCCCTGACCTCCCATCCCTGTGTGACCCTAGGCAAGTGTGCCCTCTCTGGATACAGATGACCTCTGAGAGCCCTTCTCATCTTTTGCACGTCTGCCGAATGCCAACCCTTCTGTCCTCACAGACCTTAAGCCACAGGCCAGGTTGCAGGAAGCTGCAAGGGGAAACGCTATTTTGGGCCCATTATGGCCAATGAGGCGCTGTGCCTGGCAAAGGCAAGTGAATGGACAGCCCAAGCGGGGTCAGAGGTCGCCAGCAGGGCTGAGCTGGGAAGGGAGACGGCAGGCAGGGATAAATGGGCAGCGCCCAGACACCGGCTCTTGGGAAGGACACAGGGCAAACACTGACGGTGGGGGAGGAGAGGGAACAGACCTGAGGTTTGAGCCCAGTGGCTTCGAAGAAGCAGGTGCCCTCCACGTGGGGTCTCAGTAGATCCTCACAACACCCTGGGTAGGTGAGCTTGTGCTCAGGTAAAGCCACTTGCTGACGGCCTTGTGGTGGAATTAGGACTTGACTTCTATCGGTGTCACACCAAAGCCCAACCCCGGTAGGATTCCAGACCCAAGCCAGGATCTGGACCTAGGTGTGGACTGCACCTACCCCTCAAGCCCAGTTAGCCCCAGCTCAACTTCTGCCCTGCTCCAGGCTGAGCCCCACACTGGCCTCCTAGACCCAGTTCCTCCTAAAGCTAAGTCCACTCTCCCCACTGGAGCTAAGGCACAAACACAGGAGGGCAACTCACCATCTAAGGGGGAAGGCCTTGGCCAGCTGGGGGTTTGCCAGGCACCGAGGACTGAAATCTAGGTCTGAGCCCCGCTCCGGAGCCTCCTGCTTTAGACTCGCATGTTGGAATTCCAGTGCAGCCAGCAGAGGGTGCCACTCTTCCTGGTCCACAATCCCAGAGGCTGACACATGCTCAGATCCTAAGCCAACAACCACGTCTCATGCCTCTGATCCTGTGGCCCAGGATCCACACCCCAGGCAGATCCTCATGGAGCCCATCTTCCTGCCTCTGATCACCATCGCAGGTCATCCAGGCATACTGGGGCCTTGTGCTGTGCCCCCTGGGATGAAGGGCAGGTTTTCTCTGGGCTCACTGCACTAAGGACATGGTCTCTGAGGTCCCTGAGCTCAGAGATTGCAATGCTAAGATTCTGTGGGTCCACCTGAGTTGCCAGGAGTTTTAAAAGCCTGTGATTCTGAGAGTGCTTTGTTCTCAAGCTTGTGGTTCTCGAAGCTCCATAAAAAGCCAATCTAAATCTGTCCTGTGGCCTCCAAAGCTCCTTCCCTGTCTCCTTACTGTAGCAGCTAGATGCTTCCAAGCTCCTGGGCAGGGTCCCATCTGCAGCTGGCTGTGGTTCGGGAGTCAGAGCAGGCAGTAAATAATAATTATGTTCCCTTATAACCTGACGGTGCGGGGGTGGACTGTGCAAAGGCTGTGGCTTCTGGGGACCTGACCCTATGGAGCTGCAGCCTGAGAGCCCAGAGTTGCCAAACAGAGTCCCCAGAACCACTGGAGGGACCGCCTCAGTCTCTCGATCCCTGATCCTTTCTCCTGGCTCAGGTAAACTGCTGCCCACCCTTACCACGCAGCCAGGCCGGGCAACCACATCCTCCCACAGAGAACTAGAAGGACCTCAGGCAACAAATTTGCCACTCTAATTTTCAGATGGGGAAACTGAGTAAGGGGAGGGATTAGACCAAAGCCTCGCAAAGAACTGGTAGTATAGACAGGCCTGGACCCTCTGTAGGATGTTCCATTAATAGCCAGCACTGCTTGACCAAAAAGCGTATCCCTATTTGATCTGTCGAGTGGTACATGAAGTGCTACATGAACTCCAGAGCTTGGAACTGGGGTACGCTTACAAAGAAAACATTTGCAGGAATGGAGGGTGTCCTGGGATGCTCTGCCCCCTCACCAGATCCCCAGCATGAATCTTTTCTGGGCTCCCTCTGTGGGCTTGAGTGTGGGATACGTGACCCTGGGGGTCTCCAATGACCTACAAGGGGGCTGGGGACATGACCCTTTCAGTGACCTGGAGCTCTTCCTGCCCTCCCCCCACAACCTGGGCAAGGCCCAGAGAAATGGAAACTCTTCCCCACCGCCTCCTCCCTCTGCAGGTGTCCAGTTCTCCTCCTGGAATCTCATGGACCTGGGGAGCTGACCATCCCTGCCCCCTCACCTCACAGCCAGGATTCTGTGACTCAGTTTTTATTTTGGATTTTTCACCTCCCCCAACAATCTATCGCAAACAGACTCATTTAGGTTCCTCCACCTCTGCCTTGAGCTGTGATTATTCTGATCCCAGCCTGGCCTCTGCCCCGGGCAGGAGGCCCTCCCTGCTGTCTGCATCCCCACCCAGCCTCGCTGGCCTGGGAGAGCCACCTGGGATCTTCTGAACGGCACTAAGTGGGGGGAATGCTGGATGCTAAGCTGCTGCCTGCGATCCTGGCCCACCATATCACACAACCTTCAGGGGCACGATTCACGAAGCTGGGAATATAATGTGGATAGTATCCTGGAGTCTCTAGTCACTGCCCTGCAGGCGATGGGAAGGGGCAGGATGGGACATCCTAATCTGCTTGTGGTAAGGAAGGGAGAGCAGTGTGTCACCCGTTCTGCCGAAAGGAAGGACTAACTATCCTGGTAGAGAGGGCCGGGTGGAGAGCGGAGACGGAAAATGTGTCCTGGAGGAAGGAGATCTGGACTGGGCCCTGAGGAATATGCAGGAGCCCACCAGGTCGGTCTCCATTATAGATTCACCAGGTCTTTTGTCACCTTCAGGTGGGGATTTCTAGGGGCAGGCCTGGACTTACTTCATCGACAAGGCAAAATGGGGTCATTCTCCTTGGCTGCCAATTTCCAGGAGGAAAAAAGACCCAGGAAGGGGAAGCGGTGGCCCCGTTGGCACTGCCAATAGTGACCGAACCCGGAGTAGCATCCAAGCCTCCAACCTATCTTGCATCCCTGAACCCCTTCTTTTTTGGTTTGGCGCCCACCCTCTTCCCGCGCTGTCCCCTGCAGTTCCCAGCGATGCGAGAGATGGCGACACAGAGCAAACCCGCGGGGCGAGAGACGAAGTGCCCCTCCGAGGCCCCAGGGGGCGGGGGACGCGAGCTGCTGTCAGACGTCGGGGGCGGGGTCGGCGGCTGTGACGCGTGGGGGTGGGGCTGTGTCCCGTACCAGCCCGGCAGACGATTCATTCAAAAGGCGCGCAGCCTGCGCGGCCGCCCGTGCGCTCCAGGGAACCCCGCGTGCAGCTGGGCTGCTGGAGCTGCGGCGGGCTGCCAGGTAAGGAGGGCGCACGGAGCCCCAGCCCGGGGTTCGCCACCCTGCGGCCGGGCCAGAGGGATGAGGACCCGAGTGGCGCTCACTGCCTCCCCTCATCTGAGGAAGTTCGGCGGCGCGGCGGATGCCGCAGCCGCACGCCCCGCCGCCGGCCCCGCGTCCTGTCCCGGAGTCTTACGCACCCCGGCTCCTGCCAGTCCCCGAGCCCCCTGCCCCGGGACCTGCGCGTCCTCCGGCCGCTACTCCAGGCGCGGTCGCGCGCGGTGTTGAAGCGGCGGCGGGACTTGCTGTTTGAGGAGCCGGCGGGCCGCGGAGACGCCCCCGGCCCGGCGAACTTGGACCAATACCAGGACCGGGTGCGGAACAGGACGGCGGCGCCTCGGTGCGGCTGCGGCGCGGGGCAGCCGGATGGGGGGAGTGTGAACGGTGTCAGCCCGTGACTGTGGGTGACACGGCGCCTGAGGCGGCCCAGCCCGGGCGAATGTGTGGTCGTGCCACTGGGCGGTGACGCGGGGCTGAGCGGGAGACACAGATGGGCTCTGTGTTTGTGACAAGCAGAGTGTGTGTGTAAGGGTGACCCCAGCCCACTGTGAGTGAGACCCTGGGTCACTGGGGTCACTGTGTGTGTGTGTGGCAAAGGGTGTGACCAGAGCAGGCCCAGGGCCGCTTTTAATGTGAGTGTGGCAGACAGGGAGAGGGAACCCCAGGTGACGGAGACCCAACCCAGAATCACTGGAGCCAAAGTGTGTTTCTGGGGTCAAGTAGTGCGTGCGTGCGTGTGTGTGTGTGTGTGTGTGTGTGTGTGTGTGTGTGTGTGTCTACGCTAAGCCTCTGGGCAATGAGTAAGTGGCGGAAGGAGGAGGGACCTTAAAACCCTGCTAGCAGATGGGGGTGGCGCTGAGGAAGGAGCGAGGAGCCAGGGGACAAGGGTTTCTTCAGGACTTTCCTCAAGAGGGCGCCCCTCGGGAGCTCAATTCAGCGAGGTAGGCGGACCCTCAGCGATTTGCCCTGGCCAGGGGAGAGGGTCAAGGGTGGGCCACGTCTGGTGGGGTGACACCTCTTGAAGTAGGCTCAGGCTCCGCCTCCCAACACACACGTGTGTCCAGGAGGCCAGACAAAGCTCTGCTCCCCTGGTAACCTGTATTCTCACAGGCACCACCTTGCTCTCAGGCTCTGCTCCCCCTGGGCCTCAGTCTCCCCATCTGGGCACTGAGGTTCAGCTGTGAATGGACTGTGAATCATCACTTTGGGATCATCTATTGTTTTTGGGTCAACGGCTTCTTTTCTCCCTTTCCTCTCTTCAGGCAGAAAGACTGCAGTGGGGGTGGGGGGTAGGCTGTCTGCTGGGCACACGGTGGCCCAGGGTCTACACCCAGGTAGGTGCTGATGACAGAGTTGGAAGCACAGCTTAGAATTTCAGGAGCTAGGCCTGAAATTCTGATCCATAGACACAGACTCCTCTGGCCCAGGTCTCCTTTCTGCATCTCCCAGCACAGCAGGAGTGAGGGCATGGGCTTGTTCCCCATGAGTGGTCCCTGATCTGGAGACGTGGAGCAGGGCCCTGTCAGCATTTGGGCTAGGCCTGTGTGCGGCCCCCACGCCCACTGCCAGGGTCACGCAGGGGGGAATGGAAACCTGTCTCCCCTGGCCAGGAGGGTTGAGGGAGCACCTGCTGTAGGATCTGGAAGTTCTGTCCTCTGCTGATATCCTCCGAAAATGTTGATTGCATTCTGCTGGGGGCGAGGGTAGGCGGACAGGGGTCATGCGCAATACTTTATGGAGTGCTCTTGTTGCATCCTCACAGTGGTTCTGAGATGAGGTGACTGTTTCAGAGAAGGAAACTGAGGTTCAGAGAAGCAAGTGACTTGCCCAAGATCACGTGGAGTCAGGACAATGCGAGGATTGGAGTTCAGGTCTTTTGATCTCGAAGCCCGGTGAGATCCTTGGAGAGGGCCACCCACCTTCCTAATTCCAGCAGACCTCGGCAATATTGCAGGTTTGGTTCAGGACCACCATAATAAGCAAGGATCGCAATAAAGCGAGTCCTAATGCTTTTTGCCGGTGTAGGATCTTGCCTTCAATTTGTAAAAAACACAACACCTGTGAAGCACAATGAAGCAAAGGTCAATAAAATGAGGTTTGCCTGTATTTACTCATGGCTTAGCTGGGTTTCCTTCTCTCAAACCCAGGCTGGCAATCATGGCCTTGCCAGGGCGTGCCATTGTGACTTCCGAGTGTGGTATGTGTTTACACACATGTCTGAAACTTTGAGGGTGGTTGGGTTCTGTGGTCTTCCTGCTCTTCCTCCTCCTCCTCCTTCTCTCCCCCTTCTCACTCTCACCCCTAACCAGACGTCACCAGAAAGACCTGTATCTTGCCTTCTAGAGCCCGCAATTGGTTCTGGGACCGGTCCACATAGCTCTGAAGAGTGTCAGGAGTCAGCCACACAGCCCAGGCTCCAAGGGTGGCGAGGATAATGGAGAGTCCCCATTGACCTTCACCATACCCATGAGGCCTTGTCCCCCTCTTCAGAGCTGCTCTAGGTCACTTTTCCAAATCCAGCCACAGGCTGTGGTAGGGAGCAGGCTGGGGATGACATTGAGCTTGTGCCCCACCCTCTCAGGGCCTCAGCCTCCCTGTCTCTCCCCAAGGCCCGTGCTAGCTCTGACCATTGCTGCTGCCTGGCCGGGAGCTGGAGCTGGGGACTGAGGTGTCACTCCGTCCTCTCTGGAACGACTGGAGCTGTGCTTCATGGGGCTGATCAGAATAGCTGTCTTGGTCTCCTGGGGCTGAGCCTGAGTTATTTCCATACCCAGCAAAGAGGTGGAAATAGCTCAAGGCCCAGAAGGGGGAGGTGGGAAGGGTTAACCAAGGGTTAATCTCCTTTCCTGATCTCAGCGCCCACGGAGGCCCCCAGCCTGTCCCTACCATGTGCCCTGCCCAAGCCAAACCTTTCTGGGAACTTGGGTCTCCTGGGATGACAGGAATGACAGTGATGCCAGGCCGGTTTCCACATGTGGCCCCAGTTGGGACGTGTGATAGTGGCTGGAGGAAGGTGTCTGTCTGGCCAAGGACTCTGAGGGGCAGTCGGTGCCCTGCCGCTGCTCACAGGCCCAGCCCCATCTCCCAGAGGGAGGGACTGAGGTTCAGAGAAGTGCAGAGACTTAACCACAAACCCCAGAGCCCTGATATTCTGGTTGTCGCTCTCCCAACAGGACATCTGCATTGGGCTCTGCCACATGTTCTCAGGCTGTCTGGATGTGGCCCGGGACAGGGAGCAGGCCCGGGACACACCTTCACAAAATCAGGGCTCCCTCGTCCCTTCCAGCTCTGGCCTGCTGTCCTTGCCTGGCCCCTCGTGCCAGGCTTGCCACCTCCACTTCCAGTCCCTCCACACACTGACTACAGTGACTCGCTTTGCCTATAAAATACAGTCCGGACGCCATGCCCTGGCATCAAGTCTTTTCCTTCCAAGACGCTTTTGAACTTTACATCTTCCCCCTCACCTCTCCCTGCAAGGTGCCTGGTTCGTCTCTGCCTTTGTTTTTGCTGTCCTGTCTTGCTAGAACCCCCCTGCCATTCAGGGTGCAGCCCCAGGCCCCCTCCCAGCAAGCCCTCCCAGCCCAACGTGAGCCCCTCTTTATTGTTGTGGTCCCCCTGGCAGGCGTTCCCCCTCACCTCTGGGAACAGGCGCGGGTGCGGGACAGCTCTGGGAGCCGCCTGGCCTCTCCCACTGCCCTGTCCGTGCTGGCCGGGCCTCGGAGGGTGTCCCTGTGGGTTGGGATGCATGGGGAGGTGTGCAGGGTCTCTGCTGGGGCCGCGGGGAAGACCCAGGGCCACCTCTGTGGGCAGGGCCAAGTTTGGGGTTCTTCCGGGTCTTCCTCAGGCACAGCCCTCGTTCTGGGCCAGCAGAGGAAGCTCCCTGCGAGGCCTTGCTATGTGCCAGGTCCTGGGTGCAGGTGTCCTCGCAGCAGCACCGACAGGGGACCCTCCCCCTTCCCAAGCTGCTTAATGGGAGCTAGCCCTATTAAGCAGAGGGGACCAGCCCTAGATCGAGCCACAGGGCCACTGGTGTTGGAGCCTGGCGCTCCCGCTTGCGCCTGGACCCCAGATGGGGGTTGTCTGACCACTCAGGCATCAGCTTCCAAGAAGGAGCAGGCTGGCTGCCCGCAGCGGGGGAGGAGGCAATGGGGGGGTGCTGTTCAGCACTTGGCCTGCTGGGCAAGGCCAGGCTCCCTCTGCCATGGGGCCTGCCCTTCTCCCAGCTTTGCCTGAGACCAGCCAGTGGGACCTCTCAGCCCCATTCCCACTCAGTGCTGGGACTCACAGGGGCACACCCTGGCAAGGCCATGCTTGCCAGCCTGGGTGCTGGGACGTGGTCTCTGGCAGCACTTAGCACCCTGTCTGTGCTGAGCCCTTGGGTGCTGGGGCCTAGACTTAGTGCCATCGGTTGGGACTGGGGTGGCAGAGAAGAAAGGAGGGAGCCACTGCTGCGTCCCCACTGTGTGTGCAGCCCTGGGAGGAGGACCCCGAGGTTCTCACATCCTCAGCGTCTTGCCCAAAGGGTCAGCCCATCCAGGTGCAGGCAGGGAAAACAAGGCCCGGAGAGGAGAGGGGGCTGGCAAGACCCTGGTGTCACTGGGATCCTAACCCAGGCCTGTCTGCCTGGAAGGCCAGAGCTCTTCCCTGGGCCACCCTGGGAAAGATGAGAGCTCTATAAATAAACTGCCCATGTGGCCGTGAGTATGTGCCCTGGCTCCTTGGCACAGACGGAAGATGAGGGAGGGGCCTCCGCAGCCAATTAGAGGCGGGGTCTGAGTGTGTGGGTGGGGAGAGGAGGGAGGGGGCCTTCCAGGAGGAGGGGCATAAGCTTGGACCTGCTCACCCTTGCAGTGCCAAGGAGCGAAGGAGCAGGGAGCTCAGGGAGGGGCCTGGCCTCGCTCTGCTGTGCACCCAGCCTGCATGCGCTCGCCTGCCTCCCTCCCTTGGGGGAAACCACAAAC